AAGTACTCCTACAGTATCCTGTCTAATCCCAACCCATGTGACTATGTGTTGATGGAGGAGGTGACCAAGGACGCCGGCTCTAAGAAGTCCTCCGCCACCAAGCCCCTTCAGCGAGTGCTGCTGGATCACGAGTGCGTCTACCAGGCTCAGAACCGCTGGCGGGGCGCGGGAAAGTTCATTCTTAAACTCAAAGAGCAGGTAGCTCTAAACACGATAACCTATTTCCAGTTCTAGAGACTTTTTAGTGTTTGTTTTCAACGTTTTTATTCTGTATATATGTGCATTAGTACTTAGAGCATATGGTTTTGTCTTCGTCCTTTTGTACTTTCCTGGTGTCGTAGTTTTGTGAGACACTGAGCCAGCCGCTACGCTGCAGTTGAATTAAAATTTCACCACAAAGTGTGACTATTTAATCCTTGTACTTCTGCGCTTGCAAACAGGAGCTGAGAATCACAAAGCAAACAGCTTTGCATGTGCTTGAAAGAACTGCTTCAGTGACTGTTTTTCCAACGTGCTGTTCTCTCGCACTAATCCATGTTGTTGCACTCATCCTGTATTTTAACATGACTTGTATCTTTAACCTGTTGCTTGCTGCTACCACTGCTTTCAGTTTCTTTCATGTGCTCTGCTGCTGCTGCTGCTCTGTGTTTGTTTTTGTGATTTTTTTTATGTAAAGTTTAGTCCTTTTTCAAATGTATTTATACTGTGTTGTGTTTATACTGTACGCTTTGATTCTGCCGGCATTTTATTTATTCATCAACCTTTTACACTCGAGGTCTTTTGCTGTGACACCTTGAAAATAATGTGTTTAAACGACCTGCCTCGTCGAATAAAGGTTAAATGATTTCGCAAGCTCTGTTTATTTAGGTTTTCATTTATTTTACCAATGTTTGTTCAGCCTGCTATCTGCCCTTATGATCTATTCAAAAACCGACCGGCACCGTGTTTCTTACCGTGAGCGTGCGTTTCATTAACACAAATCCATTTCTGCTTCCAGGTGGTGCGGGAGGACAAAAAGAAAGTCATTTCCTTTGCCAGCGAGCTCAAGAAGCTGACCAGTCGCAGTCGCAGCATGGCGACTGGCAGCGGAGTGGACGGTCCTGCCCAGAGTAAGGATGATAGAGCTGCATGCTGTGTGGCTCTGACTGAGCTCCAGGAGTGAGGCTCACACTCTGCCTGCTGTCTGTGCATGGAAAGGCAACAGAGGTACCGTATGTTGTCTCTAACCTCTAACATTATGAAAGGAGCACTGACTGTGAGCAGAGAAGTTAAAGGCAGCACTTTTTTTGGTAAAACACAGGCAGGTTATGGATGAATGGAATATTTGTAGATTTTATTGCATTAGGCCAATATTTAGAGCAGGGATGTGTTAAATATCGGAGTGGATTTTGGTGTCAGATGTTACTGATGAAGCATAAAATTTGTTTTTTATTTTTCTCTCACATGGGAAACAAAACCAAAACCAACTGTTCTGATTTGTGCCCAAGTGTGGCTGACCATATCAGAACTCTAAGTTAAAGGTGCCTTGTGGAGATTTCTTGTAAACATTCAGTATCTGACAGCTAACAAATGTACAGAACTTTATTTCTTATCAAAGCCCATGTTTCTTGAAATTTTAAATCTACATCATTCAGATCTTATTTGCTCAACAGGGCAGCTGGTGATGAAAAACCTGCACAGGGAGGGTACCTTTAATTAAGAATTAGGTTTTGAATATCATAAATAAGCTGAAGGAGCACCTGAGGCCAGAGATGCAGGCAGACAGAATGCAGATTATAGTGTTTTCACTGACGTTGAACAGACTTTTGTGCCCTCTCTTGTATGACGTTGTGGGAAAGGACTTTGAAGTGAATTAATCCTAATGACAGATATGCTACAAAGGAAGGTCGTATTAGGCTAAATGGCAATTTGTCAGTTATTAAAAAGGGTCTCTCATGTGGAAGTTGCAGCTGAAAAGCGATAAAACGTCTCTGTGAAGGCAAACCCTTGTGACTAAAGTGCAGGTGGAACAAAACATGATGTTAATCAGAATACTCAGGACGAAGAGGGATGATTGATTTTGGCATGTCAGCCCCATGCAGCCGGCAGTGATTTGAAAGTCTGTTCACATTCATTGTTTGTATCATTCTGTTCATGCTAGTATTTGTTTAGCAATAACTTTTCACACATAACAGATGGTCTAACTTTGCAGTGTGGCAACAACACACCATGGATGTGTTGTTATTAAAGCTGGAGTGCGGGACTTTTGGTGCAGTATTTCACAGTATACTGGAGGTTTAAATCTGGTATCTGAGGCCACTACTGGGATGAGTGATCTTTTCGATCCTGATTCACAAGTGTCCCCACAGATTTAGCTGAATCTGTGATCACACGAGTGCATGGATGCTTCAACTGAAGGCTAAAGACCCAGTTTACACATCTTTGCATCTGGTTTTCATGATGATTCTACCCTGAAAGTTCTGACCAAAGTGGTGTTTTGTGTCTCCACCGCTTTTAATCTTCTTTCAGGATGTTGGTTCACCAGCATCCAAACATGTTCCACCTTTGAGACGTAAAGTGCGTCCAATCAGCGTTGTCCTAATTCTATCACAACCGTTTCGCTCCGTTAAAGTGAGGCTGGAAGCTTTGGACAGCTTTTTAGATAGTTCCTCTGAAAAGCAGATCATATGCCAAATGATAATATAGACATTTAAGATACAACATGTGTTTACATGTACACACAACGATTGGTTTTCTAGACCTGAGCAACTGTAGCTACAGAGACAGAGTCAGCTACAGCAACTAAGAAATGTTTCTGAAGCTCCACATAATCAAGAAACTGGGACGAAGGATTACAGTTTAGGCTTATGTTATAATCACACATGTATTGATTTTGTGGTTATTGTCACTGACAGGAGGGGGAGACAAAAGTTCCGCACTGCAGGTTTAAGGGTTTTGTTGTGTTTTAAATGTAGTACGTCTGTCTTTCTGTCAACTCAAAGTTTAGCATCCATAGATAGATCTACAGATGTAAAGACAACGTGTAAATAACTGCTGTTTCCTCTGCAGGGTATCTGTCTGCAGCTGCAGGTCTGAAGGCCTGGGTGACAGACGGCAGAGTAGGGGCAGGAAGGTTCTTACTGGCCTCCACCTCGTCCTCCTCGTCACCCTCCAGGGGGCAACTCCACCTCCCCAGCTCTTCTGTGACCCCGCCATCCTGGAAGCTTCACCTCCTCAGGAACTGGAAGATCCACAAATGAGATCCAGAGAGAGAGAGACTTGCGCTGACTTACTTCTAAACTTGGAGAATTCCCCTTTTCCATGAAAGGCGAAGGTGCTTCAGTGAGGGTCTGACGAACTGTGGAATTCTGGGATGAGCTTCTCTCACGACGGATCCTGCTTTGTGTTTGTTAAGGACAGGATTGGATTGAAGCCCCGTTAGTGGGTGAGGTGACAGATGTTTCAGCCCCTTTTGCTTGGTTAGATGATGAACAGGAGGTTGGAAACCCTGCCTGATGGTCATGTGTGTTGGTAGTTCTGGCTCCTCTGGGGGTGTTTTTTTGGTAATAGTGTGGTTCTGTAAAGGTCCAGAGTACCAGGGGCAGCTGTTTTTATTGAAGTCATCAGGGACATTAAATAGTATTCCTCTTGTTTCTGATGAATAGGAGAAACTTTTCCCTGAGTCACATGCAAAGGATGAAGAGTTTGCTTTGATGTGCCAGTTTTATTTTGCAAGGAAATTACACAAAAAAGTAGTTTTAAAGTCGAACGGCTGCTTAAATGGCCTTTGGATTTATTGATAAAAATGAACCACAAACTACTCAGAGTGTTGATTATCCCCTTTACGTTTGAAGGACGATTCAAACACGGCTACACAAGTGGCCTCGCACGTTTTGGATGAATATATGCTGCATTTGGTTCAAAGTAAACTAATAGACTGGCCCTTTGCTGGCATCATACAAACAGAGCGTCCAGTAGTTGGAGGGAGATCTGCTTGGATCAAACGATAGAAGAGATGTAGGAGGGCTGAGAGGGTGAAGCAGCATTCTTCTCTCTCTCTCTCTTCCTGAGGTTTGAGCTCTTTAGGTGGAGGGCATTGTGAAGGAGGCTGACAAGCTGGCTTGTTTGGTTCTTTTCTTACTGTTTCCAGTTTCACAGTACTGTAAGGGCACATGTTTGGGGCGACGCTCACACAAAGAGGCAACGACGTGAGACACCCCATTCACACGTTTCCACTCTTTTTTTGTTTTCCTGTAATGGAAGCAGCGAGGCTTTAGGCAATTTCTTTAACACTACCGTCTCTGCCCTGAAGGTGACGATACATACGCAGCGTTTTAAGGAAGTGCAGGTGGGCAATATCAGCCTCTACAGGGGCAACTGTGGAACAACTTCTTGGTAAAGTTGTCCCATGTTGCTTAAAAATGTTGCGAACCTGCCGTGAACTTTTGTCGCTGTGTCTCTGAGGAGGATCTGCGTTGTTTCCCAAAGTGTCTTAGAGCCGTCATCGTTGTCCTCAGATAGCGAGGAGGACTGGAGCCGCATCTGTCCGACCAAACTGACAAATTAATACTGATTATAGCAGCTAGAAACAGGACAGTGGCACTCTCTATGATAAAGAGAATGGCTCTTCTATAGGAAATAATAGTCCTGTACAGGATCTGAACACATTTGCTACCAAAACACTGAATCTGAATACTGGTCAAATTAGAGTTTAATCCAAAACCAGTGGATCAAATGGCAAGATTACAAGCAGATGTTTGATTCCAGCTTTCATTGCTCACACATGTCAAAACATCCCCTTGAATAGAAATTTAGAAATCTGAGTATTTCCTACAATTCACTCCATTTAAAAGCAACAATGATGATTTTTTAGCTCTAAGATCCTTTTTGGAGAAACATCCTGATCGTCTTCAAACAGCATTTTTGCACATTTTGTTTTTTCCTTTTGCTGTTTTGTCTCAGTGTGTTTTTTGTGTTACTGTCTGACTCGTGACAGAGACTTGATTGTTTGAAGATGGTCTGAATTTCTTTTTTTTTTTTTTATTATGACCATCATATTTATTACTTTTAACTTTTAGCCCAATTTTGTGTTGAGAAAAGCACAAGACACACACGGTTTGTAGTCCAAGTCCAAACTTGAAATCCCCCAGAATGAACTTCATTTCACTTTAATTCACTGTCCTGGATTTTGAAAGCATCTTGATGGATTATTAGTGTTGATTGTAGGTTTTAGACTTGATTTTCTTTCAGGATGAAGTGAAACGTGATTCATTCGGGGCCACTTTCTCCCCTTTAGTCTGTGTTGACGAGTTACGTTTCCATATTCTAAAAATACTGATAAAAACTTCTTCTAGCTATTTTCTCCCCTTATTATTTTATCTTATTTGGCATTTCAGTTATTAACATGTGTCTCTTCCCTCTCATGTTGTCTTGCTGAACCATGAGGAGACTTTTAAAGCTACTAAAGGAAAAAAACTCAAATCTAAAGGAGCATTTTTTCGTCAAATGATTAAAAAAAAAACCCGGACAAAAGAAAAATTACATTTGTGAGTAAAAGTGTTCTGAACGCATTCCTGCAAAGTGGATTTTAGGTTAAAAATAAATCATACGGTTATAAAGGATGACATTTAAACCCACATTCCAACATACAGACAGAAAATGTGCGTTTAAAGAAGCTTTTTGAAACCTGCAAACACTACATTTGTTAAAGCACATCTAGTGGTATCTTAAATATCTGACGTTCTGTACGTGTGGCTCCAGGAAAGAACTGAACCTTTGTACTTTTATTTGTCTTTAGGTTAAACTTTGCTCTGTGCCAAGTAATGAGTTTGAATTTGAGTGCAATAGTGAAGGTCTGTCACTTCAACTCTTCTTTTTTTGATGTCTATAGATTACTGACTACATCTGGGTTTTAACTCGTACTTTTTTTTAAAACAGTCGACCTTGGATTGTTCAAATTTGTCAAAACTGATATCATTCACGCACACGGATTATCTTCTGTCGGTGGTGCGGCGGTAGGACGGTCCCTACGGCTGCTGGTAATTAAGGTAGATGAGACTGTGATCCCAGAAACCACAACTCTGTGTCAATGATAATTAAGCTGTAATCCTTTTATCCAGTCGGGCTTTTGTTATTATAAATGATTATGATTTAAACACGGAGACATGCTATTATGCAAAGCAAGCGATAATATTTCCTAAAACGGTCATTATCTACAGCCAGCATGCCTGGATGGAAGTGATAGCGGCTGTAATAAGAGTGTGACTCCACACAGGAAGGGACGTTTTTCTGCTCGGTTGTAAATCTGTGAGCTATCTGCTTCATCACATCGACTTTTTTTTTCCCCTTTCTTTCTAACCTGTAGACCTCATTTTTCTGAATGTAACATTTCTTAACGTGTTGACAACCTGAGACAAATGTGTGTTTGGAAGTTATTTATTTTAATGTGAAGCCCTGGTTGGCGATTATCTGTTGTTTATGTGTACGTTTCTGTAAGTAGTTTTAAGTGTTTGTTCTTTTTTTTTTATTTATTTCAGTATGTGAGAGGGGGGATTCTACTGCCCTGACGTTACTCAAACTTATTTAGATGAAGAAATATTTTACTTTATGTGTAAAATATTCAGTGTAGTATTCATATTTCTGGCATGTTATTCTGCAGCACACGGCAGCGTCTTTTAATGCCTTTTGTTTTCCATAAATGTGGACAAAATCCGACAACTTTGTTTGACATTTTGGTGTATTCACTATAATATGACATGTGTTTGCTGCCTGTTTCATCCTTATCACTCCGCAAACTGTCCAGTATACCCTCTAACATCCACTATCTGTGTTTAACATGACTGTCAAGTGAACATTCGTCTATTTACTTGAATTTTTCAATGGCTGATAATTGGTGGACTTGTCATATACCAGGATCACAATAAAGATGCAAATACTCGACAGTGCTGCATGTCAGAGTGTGTTTGTTTGAGTATTTCTGTTTTATGATACTTTATACTTGTTCTCTACATTTCATATGGAAACATTTAACTTCTCATTCTACTACATTTACTTGACAGTTAGTTCTTTCAAAGACACGCTAGGACAACACTGAGGTATGCCTTAAAATACATCCACAGGTGTGCCTCCAGTTAACTCATCCATCCATTATCTATACTCCGCCTAATCCTCACTAGGGTC